ATTTATTCTTAGAAAAAAAAAAAAAAAAAAAACATAGCCTACGTAATGCAGATTCCAACTGGGAGGGTGTAGGGTTCCAGAAAGGAGATATGTCTACATCCTAAATCAAACTACCCAGCAGGCCAGGATATAAATGTGACTTGTAGCAGTGGCTTAAATTAGATCCAGACTCTCAAAGCCAAATACAGATAACATCACCTTATACAAAGTATAGGGTGCACATGTGTGTACGGAGTGAATCTTTCAAGAATGTTGGATGCATTCCAGCATGACTTCTTGCTACAGACTGGAACTTTGGAAAAAAACCACTGCCGACTGTTAGCTGCAGGTAGTTGTATAGACACTGTATTCGCACAGTGCTCTGACTTTTTACCTACACTATTCCAGTTCTTCACTATCACTTTTAACTGCTTAACTACCTTATCAGGATAGAGAACAGCAGTTTAAATAGAAAATCTTCTATCAATGATAATGATGTTTGAAATCTCTCCCACATTTTCAGAAACAAGATCAACACTAACATCTCTTGTATCGTTTTGATTAAATCTCATTGATAGCATTGCGTATCTTAAAGAGTTAAAAGAAAGAAGGAAAGAATGGTGGGTAGGATTACAGATATGATACCTTTTAAAAGTTTTGAAAAAAATGCCAGGACAGACATTTTCCCCCTCCCAAAAACATACATTTCTAAAACCAACCCACAAGTTGTCTCTGAAAATGCAGTTCCATAAAGGTGCAATGTCAGAAAAAAATGAATGCCCCACAGAAGTTGGCATTTGTTGTAACCAAAGTAGTGATCAATCTCAAACTTTAAAATGGTTTAATCTCTCTACAAGCACTGCACTAAGTAAACATATTTTTAACATACACCTTCTTTCTGTGTGCCTGTGTGTGTGGTTGAAAGAGGTTTGCCTTGCTTTAGTATCTTCTCATGCAAGGAACCTCTCCCTTTCTCTTTATCTGAGCTCTGCATTGGGGAAGAAAAAAAAAAAAAAAAAAAAGCATCTGAAGAAATCTAATCAGTACTTTCCACACACCGTACAGGAATTCACACGGATTTGTGCCTTGGTTTTATTAGCTTATTGTAAGCCTTAAAACAGATTTCCTCCATTAAAATTAATTAAAAGCTCCTGCTGACAGATTCCCACTACAAAAAGAAGGTGGACAGTCTTACTTTCCTGCTTTGCTACTGATTTCTTTATCTTTCACGGGATTATATCTCTTGCTCTAGAGAGATCTTTCCAGCTGTTTGATTTCTTTTCGCGATCTGTTTCTCTGCTCATTATTCCCCTCCCCCTGCCCACTCCCTTTCCAATATTTGTAATTATTTTGCCAGAGATCACCTCTAACTTAAGAGCTCTATGAGGAGCTCCCTCGTACTCAGAAACCTTGATCCCATTCCCTTCACTTCGCCCTACTCACTCACTAACCAGACCCCGCTCCGGGGGCTGCTGATGGGAACGTGACGAAACCTCCCGGAGGCCGCAGCTCCTTGCTCTTCCCGTCCTTTACACCTCGGAACACTGGCCAGCGTGGAGTTCAGACGACTGCCTCCACCGATCGAGCCTCATCTTTTGAAGTTCCCGTTTCTCCAAACCACTTCCCTGAACGCGGCTATGGTCGCGCTCGTACGCGCGCTCGGTGGTTTCCTATAGCAGGAGGGCTGCTCTGCGCGGCGCCTGGCGGGGGCTGGGGGTTGCGGGCTGCTTTCGACACCGAAACAAGCCCAAGGACCTGGTTACTCGGGGCGGCTGAGAGCTCCCGACCCGAGCGCTGCCGCCCGCCGACCCTCCTCACACTTGCCGCCGGCCATTCATAAAATGTGCGTGTGCCTGCTGCTGCACACTTGCAGGCACGGGGCTCTAATGAGGCGCACGCGATCCCGGCCCCTCAACTTTGCCTTCTCAAAGGGCACCGGGATTTTAAATCGCCTGGGCTAGAATTAGCAGGAAAGAAAAGAGAGAGAAATGAAATCCCAACTGTACCTGACAGTGTCTGGGAATCGCTCGCCGGCACCGATCATAATCCCCCTCTGCGCCTCTGGCCCCCTACACCAAAACTTTTCCGCTGCCGCCGCCGCTCCTCGCTTCTGGCCGCCGCCTGCCGCTCCTGGCCAGCCCCTGGGGCCCGCTGCCCGCCGCCGCTCCTCTCCGGAGCGGCCCCCGCGCTTCCCTCCTCCCTTAGGAGGCAGCGGCATCGTCCTCCCCCCTTCTCCGCCACCTCCTCCTACGGCGCGCAGCCCACGGCTCTGGCATCCCCAACGCACTTTCTCTCCTCGATTTGCTCCTCTCCCTCGCTGCTCCTCCTCCTCCGGTAAAAAGAAATGAGAAGGGGCCGCAAGGACGTTTCTTTCTTTCTTTTCTTTTTGTTTCCCCCCTCTCTCTGTCCTCTAGAAATGATGAGAGGATCACATGAGGAGCTGGCACGGAGACCCAGGACCCTTGATCGTCTTCGGAGGCATCGAACAAATAGATGTGAGTGTATGTATGAATGCGTGCGGCTAGCTCCTTCCGAGTGCCGCGCCTGCCTTCAGCCGGCGTTACAGGCTGATCTTAGCAGTAATGATGCCTCAGATCTGACTATTCCCTGCTAATGTGAGTCGTGCCTTTTTTTTCCTCCCTGCCTGACACCCCAGGGAGATGTTTACAGTAATGAATTCAGTTGATAGCCATCTCTCTCTCCTCTCTCTCCCCTGGAGTCCCTCCCACATTTCTGGTTTAAAGAATGCTTGGAAGGCAGGCTGCAACCTAAAGCTTTCCAAGAGGCAAAGTCAGGCTACGTTTTCCCTTTTTTTTTTTTTTTTTTTTTTTTTTTTTTTTTTTTTTT